GACTGGGCTGTTGGCCAGCATTCAACAGTCTGATTTATTATAAGCTCTTCCTACGTTTTTATCTTTGTTTACTACTATAGACAAATTTTACGTAAAATGTTAACTCGTAGAAGCGGAATACCGTATGGGATTTACCCGACCGGATAATGAACCGAGTAGCTGACAGCGACATATTGAAAGCGGCGTGCTAGGCACTCTGCTATAGAGACCATCAAAGACGCGGCCCGCAAGTACTTGTTTGGTACAAAGAGTTGTAAGCGTGATTGTGGACGGGAATATAAGAAGAGGATGGCTGAAGAAAAATGGATAGACAGTGTGAAAGACACGCTATAGATATAAGAAAGCAGTGAATTTAGAGATATCTGATCGTAAAGTATGGAAGAACATATGGCGCCAACCTCAAATAATATAATTGGGACAAGAGTGGATATTTCGAGTTGCTTAATAATATATTTAGCTTATGATGCAGAGGGAGATTCCAAACCTGGATTGCGTTTAGGTCTGGGTTGCTAGATACAGGGTCCATCGAATCACGTGTACCTACGCCACATAAGGCTTTATCAGATTAGCTATGCTTTGACCTCGCCTCAGGGAAGGTCCTAGCTCCTACAGAGCATTAATTTAAGCCAAAAGGAGCATTTTTACGTTTTCTTCCTTAAGATGTCAGAAAATCTCGCTGACTAAGCGGTATATACTCTCTTATTCACTTTTGGGAATAGAGTTATTTTTTAAGATATACATATCTTGTATCCTTTCTACCATTTCACTCAACACCCTTTTCTTTAGCTTTTTTATTATTGTCATCCATAGGCTGCTTCATGATAAAACCGCCATTTGTGTACTGTTTTTTTAAACCTTGTAAAATTATCTGTAACTTGTGTTGAAAGCACTAAGGAATCGGCTAATGTTAGCTATATAAACTTAAAAATGCTTAGGTTACCAAAGTAAAGATTAAACTTATCGGAAAAATAATACCTTTTATTGGTATGATTACGTAGCTTTTTTATATTAAATTTGTCCTATGTTCGATTAAACGATTGAATCGTCAATCGCTTTTGTCATTTGCATAGAAACGAGATCAGACAGAAGTCGCGACTCGCAACACGACGAACTTAAAATGAAATTGCGATTATTCCGAGATTTAAAATAATCCGTACCTAATGCTTTATAGAGAAGAAATTTAATTTTCTACCCGATAGAACTCGTGTATTATTGCCATTCGGTTTGCTTCTATTTAAGAAATACTGTTTCACTCGTTATTCTTCTGGATTATCTTCTGGTAATATTGGTAGTTAAGGCTAGGTTCAAAGAAAAAACCGGCCAAGTGAGGCAGACACAAGCACGAAGGGTTTCCTACCATCTTTTTTAATATTAAAAAGGCGAAATTTTGTTAGTTTGGATGTCGCGTAAAAACTACGGACTGGATTTTGATGAAATTTGAAATACGAATAATTCTAACCCTGGATTAAAATATAGCGGCTACTATTTATCCCACTAAACAGTTCCTTGGGGACCATTCGTTCGAAGCCGCTGGCGGAAAGCTAATTAACTTTAATTTGATGTATGGGATGAGAATAAAATAGATATTTAATCGGAGGCTTCAATATTTATTTTAGTCTATCACGGTTCATAGATGGACAGATAGACTGTCGGGTAGCGGAGTCTTAGTAATAGAGTCCTGTTTTTACTCATTGTGTGTGGAACCATAAAAAAACTGTCTCTATCTTTTTTATTGCATTTTGGAAACGATATAGATGGAAAAAGGATGCTGATTTGCGTATCAAAAATTATTTTTAATTAAAAATACATAAACTACTACGACTATTGTAAAAGTGCTACGAAAATCACTTCAGTGTGACACACACATTGTCTCTATAATAAAGGGTATATTATATCAAGAAATGGCAACAATGTTTGATTTTAGGGGTAATTTATTGATTTTGATTTCTTTAAAAATATGATGTGGTTTTCTTGTTTTTAATTACAATTTATTTAGATGTTATATTTTTGTACAATGCTAGTTAAAAGCTATTTAATTTTGGGTGTCACGCGGTCTCGAATTTATATTTGAAGCAAATTCTGCATTTTAATTTGCATTTTATATATAAGAATGTTCAAGTCTCGTTTTACCTCTTGGGTGCGGAACCCTAAAAATAATTTCACTACCTATTAAACATAATATAAATATTAATATAGAAATGTATCGTATTTAGACGTACCGATATAGTTATTTGTGTTGGTAATAAATTTACAAAATATATATTTTTAAATATACATGTAATCCGCAAGAAACAAATAGGCACGTATATGAAAAGTATACTTACATCCTATTAACTTGTGCACATACATCATATTACATTTTTGTTTATAAAAGACTCATCATTTATTATCGTCGCTCTTGACACCGACATTAAAACAGACTGCAAAGGCTCTATACTTGTAAGTAGAGTTGCGCCATGCGCCGAATAGTGGTTTCAGCGAATAACCAAATACCAAATAGTATTCGATATAAACCGGATATTCGGCCATCCCTATTGTTTTTATCTAGCAGAGTGTTTTGCAGCGAACGATTATTTCGGAAGCAAAGAACCTATATGACGAAATACTTAAGCAACGGACTCTTGGCGAAGAGGGCCGAAAGTTTGGTATTTCTGTACCTACAATAATTTAACATTAATTTATTATAAATATTGAAATATGAATGTTTCTTTTTACTTATGATTGAGCTACATTAGAGCCGTCATGCTTCTTTTAGAACTACCTGTATTTATTTGATTTATCAGTCTCTTTTTTTAATTTCAGGCTCAGTACGGAATTCTAAAAAAGAAATAAACTAAATCTCGAGACCAAACCGGTACACTGAATTCATTAATTTTAGTTAAGATATATTTGTAGAAATCGAATAAAGGTGTAAAAGGTGAGAAAAAGAAATATGAAGAAATTGAAAGCATCCATTTTATATCCTCCTGCAAAGTGTTGTTGAAACTTAACATATTGTTTAATTTCGAAGGGGTAGAAGTTCGCCGGGTAAGTAGTAGTGTGATATATCTTAGATACTCGGGACTGGTGTGTTTTCATCAAATATATCATTGTAAATGCAAATTAGATGAAATATAAATATTATTATGTTATTTCAACGACTAAATCCGGCTGTATTTCCACCGATTGTAGTCTTGCCAGTATTAGAATTTAATTATTGCGAAGGTTAAACAGTTTTTTACAACAGCATAATGTGTGAACGCTACAAGCATTTTTAAAACAGTTTATATGTAGGAAAGATGTTGTTATAATTATTTTCCACTCAATTTTGAAATTTTCGTATCCATGAAATTGAAATCCTTCCTCGGACTTAAAAATCATCGTTCTCAAAACGTTAACTTCGTTGGATAAGTATTATATTTTGTAAAATCAAATACAAATTCGTAAATTTTAAAAATAAATAGTTACTCCACATAATGTTACTTTCTACGAAGTGAGTGGGTTTTCAATATTATGATAAGTATACTATATTCAGTAAAACTCAGTTTTAACCGACCTCAAAATTGAGAAATAGTAGTTTATATGTTCGAAAATATATAGCTAAGTAGCATTATAGAGAAATAAAATTTTAAACATTTGTAACTTTGTTAGTAGGGGTAATGAATGAATCTCACATATCATTGAACACACCATTAACACAGAACAGTAGCAAATATAACACAAGAATTGGAACAAGGATTAAGTACAATTTTACTCGTATAAGGGAAATTGGACTTTCCAGTGTTTCTAAAAGACTCCAGCTCGATATAATCCGCCGATGAGTAGGTACAGCGTCGATTTTCAGCTACGCTTAGGATAATCTTCGTTAGTACTGATTCGATTTTGAAAATCAGATAAAAGAATTTTTTATTTAAGATTTTAAAATTATTTCACCAACAAGAAAACTACATCATGCTCGGTTGACAAAGACCATAATTTACGCGGGCGAAAGTAATTAGCTATTTGAAAGTTTCGTGTGCTTATCCTTTTTTTTTATAATATTAAAACCGAGAAAACGGGCGTGCGGTGAGGGACGCATAATTCGCCGTCAGTATGATGCGATTTTTAAATCATTGCTGCATATATATTATTGATTTGTTACATTATTCCTTAACAACGTATGATGTGTAAGAAAACGCGTCTAATGGTCGCGAAGTTCTGGGTAGGGTCAGGTACAATATCTAAGTTAAATCTAGGTGTAAAGTGAAAACTTAAAGAAATCAAATGCGCCCGTCAATGTGAGAGACAGGGACAGATGTATGTGAGCCCCTTTGAATACTTATTTTATTATGTTTTTAGTTTCAATTGTCTAGCTATCACGGTTCATAAAACACGTAGTGACAGACAGTCGGACTGCAGAGTCGGTAATAATAAGGTCCAGTACTTATCTTTGGGAAAATTACGAATCGTGAATTTGATTATTAACTTTTTTTAATTATAAATTTTTGAATGTTAGAAATACAATAGAATTTTTCGTTTTCAAATACAGCTTATTTGGTTGTTATTTCTCTGTAAACAATCAATTATTATATATAAGTTATTAATTTTTACGCGCCTGCCTTGTTTCATTATTAAGTATTACATTAAGTATGTTTCTTAAGTTTAAAATCAAAGAACATCCATTTAATAAATCACCCATGTACGTGCACTGCAAACAATAAAACAAAAATAACTATGAATCCTCTTTTTTATGTTAAAAACCTTTTTTTTTATATTTTGAAGTTCGCCATATGACATTGAAAATGTATTTGAATAGCGACTCAAAACTAGTTCTAATATTGGTCTGAGGTATGCATCCGTTTAATTTATATAATAATTTTTGGAACTAAAATATCCACAAGATCTTGTACAGCCTACGTAAATGCTTGTCTTGTTTACAATTTCATGATTAATTTATAATGTTGATCGTTGATGATCCTTGACATCGAGTATTCAAGTATCTTATATAAGTATATATTAATGATCATTGGTATTATTTGACTATACGCGTTGGTAACGTTTTGGTCGTCTAACTGGTGTTTAATAAAATGAGCGCTGTTTTCTACTTTATACCTTTTTTAATTCAAATATGTTACGGAGCATGTAAGTACCGTTTTGTTTCATTAAATAAAAACACTATATAAAAAAAACTTTACTTGTTTTAAATTATTCACTTCATTAAACTCTTTATGACGGTAGTTGGTAAATTACACATCCTAAAATTTTTATGCATCTGTTTTTTTTTTTTGGGTTTCTATAAAAAGTCAGGCTATAATAATAAGTTTCGATATAACCTTTAAAAATGGGAACTACTTTCTATAGTTCTGTATGTAAAGTGTAAGTTCTATGTAAGTCCAACATATCATAAGATATTAGTAATATCATTTTATTATGTTTGATCATTAATCATATTATAAAGTAGGTAGATATTTGTCATTAATACGTATAGTATTGTGAACAATGGAGAAAACCATTTGCCGCAAGACGTGATATGCTAAAAGATACTAAGAGAGAATATTTAAAATGTTAAAAAAAGCAAATTACCTTCCATGAAGGTTATCGTGAACAAGACACTTGAAAGTTCCGCTATGGTTATCCACCGAGCCTTTGCCTATGGCTTATCGCCTTTTCTGATACTTTTTGAACTAAATTAAGGCATATGTATAGAATACCTTATTAAGTGGCTAAGTGTAAGGAAGATATAGTGATCAATGATCATAGTTATATAATTTGTTTTATGTTTTTAAATATGTGACTATCATTCACACCTAGTTACAATTCAATTCCATTCAATTCATTTCTTCATTTGCCATAAACATGGATCTTAAGATAAAAGAGTTAATTTTTGATAATTATATACATAATGTTTCGCCTATTACTAAGCATGCAAATTGATATATGTAGTCTTATTGATTTAATTGATAATTGAATTTATAATATCAATATAATGTAGATCTGTATTTTAAATAATTATAATTTCAAGTGTGAGGATTGAATATCAGATACATATTGTTAAAATGATAATAATAAATCATAACATAAGTATATTTTTAGTCAAAAAATCCTTAATATCATAAAAATTTTCTGTCAACAGCCTACTAATACACATATATATATATTTTAAATTAAGTAACATTTAATGATTTAAGGTTATCTGGTATATTATTATACAATTTAAAAAGCACATGGTTAAGACAGCTTTAAGAATACTGCATTGTTTGAGGTTTTTTAACTAAAATCTATTTGGATTTCTAGTACGCGGGGATAAAATTCACATACTTATATAAATATCTTAGGGTTTTGCATAATAAATACACATACTTCATATATGTAAAGTGATGGTAGCGACAGCAAGCCCAGAGGCGGAAATAACGCGGATGTCAGTGGAGGAACTCCACATATGGCTCGTATACATTTTTTCTGAGCAAGAAAAGCTCTGTGGATATTTTTACTATAACCCCAGATTATCAAGCCATATCGCAATATATTACGAGTAACATAAGCATGCCAAGAAGAAATGGCTGTCTTTGCACTTGTCACATTACATAAACGTCCATGAATATTGTTATTTATTAGAGCGACATTATGGCTGGTTTACACGTGATTAAGTGATAAGTAGTAAGTAGATTTTTAACCTGATTTTAAGTGATTTAGTACGTGCAGTAATTATAAATGAATGAAGTCATTGGTAAAATTAAGTTAAAATTTACTTACTAATTATCCACTTAATTACGTGTAAATCAGCCATTATCGACATAATTTTCAAATTTAGAACATTCAATAAAGCACAGTCGGCATTAAACAATAACGGACATGTGCAAGAGCCTAATATCTTTATGAGAATAAAATCTTTGGATTTTTTATCCCAATGGTTGGAAATAACACTTATCAACGTAATGAGTAACTAAAAAGCTTTTAGCGAAATATTGTAACTAAATATTCTAATATAATAATTGCTTTTGTTTCAAAAAAATTCGTTACACTGTTTGTAAATAAAAAATATTCATATGTTTATTACTTTTTATTACTGAGGTTATAACCTAGTATTATAAATACTAGTAGCATATTATTATGTTATTAAAATAAAATTAATCGTCTTTTCAATCAGATAACAAATTAGTTCTGCCTGAGAGGCCGCGGCAGTTTGAATTAATAGTGATCCCTGAGGTATCCCTTCATACATCCTTACTTAGCTTCCCGCTCTCTGAACGCCTTCAACGGCTTTTAATGCGATTTTATTTTTCGGTTTTATATACAGAGTGATTCAATTCTACGCGAGCGAAACCGCTGGTGAGCTCCTAGAGTATTTTATAACCTATTCATAGAATACGTTAGATTTAAAAATTATGTATTAGACAAGCAGTTTAAAATTAATGGAATAAATCAAGTAGAAAGTTCTTGATTGTTGAAAACAAGGAAAGAAATCGAGCCCATTTTGCTTTTAAAGTTAAAGACTAAGATTCGATTTAGAAAAATATCCACTTGTCTGTTATTTTGTAAGAGTTAATATGAGGCATGTACACATTAACGATTTAGAACTGGGTTTCCTAGCTAAATTAGGGGCCATCACTTAAGAGGCATTCTAGTTAGCATATCTATATATATTTATTATTTTGGGAGTATTCTTTGTCTTGTGACAATGTGACAGAAAAGAAAACGTCAAAAATTTAAACGTGTTGACTTATTTTGGTCGGATAATGGTTGAAATCTGGTACTAAAGTTAGTCCTGGCTTTATAATAAGACGCCCCAAGTTTCCAGACGACTATTCAATGTTTGTTCACCGTAAGACCGTTATTTTGAACTAGAGCCAATAGAAAATTAGCTACATAGGTAGATTCTAGTGCTGCAGTGCTGTAATAGTTTTACTATTAGTTACTTATGACTTTGATAAATGTGAAGATGTCAAGATTAAGGTCAAGTATTGATAATCGTCAACAATGTATATTATCGTAGTGTTATGTATTTTTTTTTTATTTTTAGACTAGCTTAGCGCCTGCGGTTGCGCATGCGTGGATCTATGAGTGACTGACTGAATGACAGACGACGTACAGGCGAAACTACTGAGTGTAGAAAGTTGAAATTTGGAATGAAGATCTTAGGCAGTGTAGAGGAGCACTAAGTGAGAGAGGATTTTTAAAAATTACACCCCGAAAGTCTTAATTAGAGGATGCCATTTTGAATGAAACTTCAATACTACAAGTGCTAGGGGTTTCAAATTTTGCATGCGGGTTCTTTTTAGTACGTGGGTGCTCACTAAGACGGGATTTTACGAAATTCAACCCCTAAGGGGGTAAAATTAGGGGATGACAGATTTTATGGAAGTTTCTCATTTCTGGACTTAAATCTAGACCACGCGGGCGAAGTCGCGGGCAAAAGCTAATTATACATATAAATGTTTCTCTTGAATCTCTCAGACAGAGGTATATTGATGAAAATTGTTTGTAAGATCTCGGCCTATAGAGAGCGGGAAGCGACTTGGCTTTATATATACATAGATGCGCAATTCTAAAGTGAACTTATTTGATTTAAAGATCTAATTTATCTTTTTATCTTTCAAGATTTTTAAATGAATTCGGTTTACGGCGCCTTAATTGAACGAGTGTTATCATTCTTTGACGCAGTGTCCGATCCTTTACGGACGGACAGACAATCGGACACTCAAGTGTTCTAATAATAATGTTTCTTTTCGAGGTATGGAAGTCCAAACAATATTTTTACCTTTCACGATTTTCAGTGTTGCCAGTTCCCAAATGCAAGATATCAGATACAAAATGTCTGACAGCTTCTGCCCAGATGGCAATTCCTCTTTTTGCTCCCGGTATTCCAGAAATCGGTGCACCACCTATAGATGAGATGCAAATAAAATATGTCAAGGTTGCTTTAGCAGGGTTAAACTTGGATGTTAAGGATGCAACTTTAAAAGGTTTGAAGGATGCAAAGATTTACAAGGTTAGGTAAGTAATTTAATTTTAACACATATATTGCTCAGATTCCAAGATGAGTAGCTAAAGCCTCCGTAGTATGGAGTATCTGAGCAACGGAGGTACCACAACATCCAGACCCGAGACAATATAGAAAAGTTCATTTTCTACATTGAACCGACCGGGAATCAAACCCGGGACCTCAGAGATAGCAGTACGGCTACGGCGGTCCTCAATCAACGATCCTGGAGCGCAGTTCTTTGTATCGATTTTTTTGAACTCCAGACTTCAAGAACTTTCGTAACACTTTAGATTTATACAGTGGCAAGTTAATTTGCTTCCTTGGCAAGTTTTATTGTTCTTTTCAACGTCAAAAAGAATTCAAATCTCTAAAGAACTAAGCTAACAAGCCAGTGTAGTTAATGAAGTTTGAATAAATAAAGGCTTTATATTATATTCATCAGCAGCTTATTAATGTGCCCACTGCTGGGGTTCAGGCCTTTCTCTAAGGATGGGATCGATAATATTGGGCCGGGATCCACCACGCAGGGCCAGTGCGGCCTGGCCGGTTATAATGACTGCAGATTAAGCCGGGACCAACGGCTTGACGTACCTTCTGAAGCACGGCGGAATTTTAGATAATAAATTTTTGATCACCCATCCTATAATCGGCCATTCCGAAGTTGCTCAATGACCGTATCGCAGAACGAGCGCGCTAGTCACTGCGCCATATAGTTATTTAGATCATATTATCTTATAAGGAATTTATTTGTGACAAAATATTACCAGTTTCGTATTCATAATCAGCCCATTATCTTCGCCACGCGGCCCCTGAAAGGATTGTTGGTTATTAACAACTTTCAAATAGTCTTAATTTAATGATAAAACTTTATTACAAAATTTAATATGAATCAGACATTAAATCTATCTGAGAAAATAAATATCGAGGGGTTTAATTCAAATTTAACACGATAATAACTTATTTCATATACTTACCATTTTCAGAGTTGACATGGAAAAGAAAGAAATAAAGTATGTTTTTATATCTGATCCATGGTTGGAAGGAAAATACACGGCCTCGGGACAACTTCTCGTATTGCCTATAAGTGGAGATGGAGACGTTTCAATAAAAATTAGTAAGTTCAGTTTGTCTTTTCTAGTATAGTTAAATCTCAGATCTTGCATTTGAATTTCACAAAATCTTAATCTGTAGGCATCTAAAATATTAACAGTATCATCTTTTTAATTATAGAATACCATTATTTATAAATAAAAAGGCTATTTTCTTCTTTCGGTTATTGGTCATTCGAAATATTTGCGTGTTATTCTTCTATGAAATATGATTTATTGTACATAAAATAGTCACTCATTTATATAAAACAAAGACGCTTTCTAACAACAAAACAAAAACTACGCAACGGATTTTGATGCGGTTTGTTTTTTCATAGATAGGGTGATTCAAAAGGAAGGTTTTTATGTATAATACAAGACCATGCTAGTAATGTATATGTCGCAATCAAGTGGTATAATCAGCTACCAATTAGGCCGCTAGCCGTTTAATTGAATGGCGCCATTAAATTTTATTGAAGGACATTATTAAAACATACATTCGGCAACCTTTTAAATAAGTATTTTCTGCCAGGCAACCGTTACGAATTGGATAAATGATATCTACATGAATAAGTTGTTAAAACTGCATTTTGGAATAGTTATACAGTTGAGTGATGTGATGAGTGAGTGATGATTATGATTGTGATTGTACAGTCGACAATAAAAGAGGATGAGGTTTCTTAATTCGACATTTAATGTTTGTTCGCGGATAACTTCGTTATTTATGTACGATATTTCTTTTTATTTATTTTTTTATTAGACAGCTTATGGACCTGATGTTGCCCTATATAAATACGAAATCGGATTGGTGTGTGAATAATGAAGTCGATTTCAAGAAGTATTATTTCTTAATTTTTAAAGTCGCTTCTAGCAAAAAAAATTACCTACATATTTTGTTTCCGTGACAAAGTCTCATTAATGACGTAATTTTAAATTATTATAAGGCAATTATGATGAATTCATAGTAATGGGCACAAAATGACGATTTATTATTATTTTTTTGATATTTTGCAAGTGGGAATAAAATTGTATGACTTATAATTTTGATATTGGATATATGACTTTGTAATTTTATCAATATTTGCTGATGGCTGAACTCGAATCATATGTCAATCTACAGTGTACCTCATTTAAAAGCAAATAAATTATTATTATTATTATCACTATGTGGATATAGAACAAAAGGTTTGATAAACGAATTACAATGAAACTTCATTTTATCCAAAATGACGGGTAATTCAAAATTACAATTTACTATTTCCAAAACAATACCTACGTTAGTTATTTATTTTATATGTTTTAATAGAATGCTTTATAACTAATATATGAAATAGTTTCTGCTATATTGAGTTGAAACTATTTTTATTATAAAACTTTTGGCATGTTGCTTTAAATATACAAGTATATAATAATAGATGGACCAGTTAAAAAAATTTAGAATCACATCCACATACGCAAGGCACGAGAACCTGTTTTGTTTTTTTTTAATGTTTATCACATATTACTTAACGTATAATATTATAGACTTGACCAAGACCTTGATATGTATCTATACGAAATTAGAACAATATTATTGAACTCTTCGGAAAGAACATATTGCCTAAAGGCATATTATCTATACTAATGTTATAAAGAGGAATGATTTTGATTATTCGTTCGTTTGCATCAAATAAGCTCCAACATTACTGGACCAATTTTAAAACATGTTTCACCTACGGGAAGCTACATTATAGGCGATTGTGCAAAGTCGCGGGAAAACAGGTAGTTCATTATATTATTAAACTCTCGAGTATCTTATTCATTACGATATAGCACTTCAGGTTATACAAAACTGTCAAAGGAGAACACCAATTCTCATACAGCTTTGGGCCTGATGATACAAGATTTGTAATTGGCCATAAATTTGACCAAATTAGGGAGTCTTAAAAAGCCATATTTTCAAAGTTACCGATATTCGGCAAATTGGGAAAATCGATAGGAATGTTTAGGCTATGTTTAGAGTTATTGAAACGCGTTATTTTATAAGTGTTACAGATTTAATAGGTGATTACTTATGCGGCCTATTGACTTGCATACATGTTTTAAGATGCTGCCATCTCTGTGTTCCCGGGCTCGATTCCCGGTCTGGTATATCCCCAATGTATGAAAATTAAGTTTCCTACATCGTTTCATAATGTATGCGATGTTGTATTTATTTATTTAAATTTAGTTAATACAAGACTTCTCTTGCATCAATCGAGATATGGTAATTAATACTAAAGGCAAATTATTTATTGCTGGGTATCTGGTACATGTAATAATTGTAAAAAATAAAGACATTCCTCATGTTCAAGATTACTATAAAAATCATATACAACTGCAATATACTTGTACCTTTGTAATCTACCCATTTTAGTAGCTAAGCAATCTCGCTATGTAAATCAGAAAATAATAATATACTTGACATACGTTATTGTATAATTATTGATTTGTTTTGACTGCCAGTACCCGGTGTTAGACTTGGCCTTGGGCACAGTAAATTACTTGTCTCAGTGCTGCCCCCAGGTGAAAGAATTAATAAAATCGGTTCAGTAGTTTCGGAGCCGATAGGATGCAAACAAACAATCAAATCGTTCCACTTTTTAATATTATTATAGATAAAAATTATAACATATTTTAGAATGCTCGATATCATATACACTGTATGCACTACAAAGTGCACGATCATTTAACATTGGCTCAATGTTTTAGAGCATATTTAATGCAATTAGATAATCAAGATTTTCTTCTTTATAATATTAATTAATATTAGGATGAAGTCAACAGTGGTGTTATGATATTAAAATGTTGTAGTCCCATTATTTTGTTTCGAGAGTAAATATGTAGCAAATGACTATCAATTATGATAAGAATCCTGATGAGAGACTATGCAGAGTACAAGCCATTCTGACGCTTACAGAAATTTGACCAAATAGATTGGATAATTAAAAAAATTTTGCGATATAATTTTTTTATGTTCTAGAAGGCATTTTACCGTTTATTTGGACTTAATATGATGATAATAAAATAAAAAAAGAAGAAGATATTCCTCCTGGTATTGTAACTAACCAGGATTATTACTATATCGTTATTTTTTTTTAATTTCAGAGAACGGAGAAATTGATGTCACTCATACATTCGATGTCGTCAAAAACGCAGACGGAAAAGATGTGATCAAACTAAAGGGTTTCAGTTTCAAATATGATATAAAAGATGGTGCTAACTATTACCTCGGCAATCTCTTTAACGGGAATAAAGAATTGAGTAAGTTCTATGGTAAATTGCATAAAATATGTAGATTAAAATAAAATAAAGTCATTATCATAATGTTATTTTATACTCTAATATTAGAATAATAGTTATTTGTGCAAGTATGTGTGAGTAATCTTAATTTCATTGAGTATACTAAGGTCGACCGACAATCTGATGGTTGCGAGAAACCATTGGATGCAGGCAGCGCGGGACCGTTTATCTTAAATTCTATGGAGGGCATTCCTCCATGTTTGATTGATGATGTCTTAAGATCTATTTACGGGTATTTTACAACATTAAAACTATATTAAAAATTGTAGTCACCTATAAGATAATAGAGTAATAACACATATTAATATTTGATTAAATACTAATCAAATATTTAATTAAATATTTTTTGACATTTTATCTGAGATGAAAATGCCTTGTAAGTGCTTACACCTCCGATGACATCAAAGGCTAGTAAATGTGTGTTCCTGTGGATTTTCGTATGATGAGGTTTGATTATTTACTATCGTATGACGTCATACGCGACGTAAGAGCGGCGTATGATAGACACAACGTTTTTCGCGCGGTTTCGGGGATTTAGTTAAGTTCTTATTTTTATTTATTGATTTAAAAATAGGGTGTCAACTATAAGAAGATACTTCATGTTGCGTCAACATATACAGTCAAGACTTAAACTCTGCACTTCCGCGGTTATAATATTAGATATAATAGTTACCGTTTATTATTATAAAATAGATCATCTCTATATGTAAATCCTTAACCATCCATAAGGAAGGCCTGAGCCCCTGCAGTGGGGACGTAAAAGGGCTGGTGGTGGTGGTGGATATGTAATGACGACGACAAGTGGGGAAAACTCGTTGATAATATTATTTATATAGGTATTATTAATCTGTAGAACGAATCTAAATTTATATCAAGATTATTTAAAAATATAGCAGTATCTACGAGTAATTCATTTATATTTCCAAAAAATTAGTAAATCTGAATTGGATTGTGCTAGTGTGCTTATGTAGAATAGGATAAACTACCGTAGAATACAATCAAAACATAGAGCCGGAGAGATCGCGAAATAACGTACATTATTTTTCTTAAGTATGTTGATCTGCTAAGTATTTATATATATAGAGTTTATTTTTTTTATGTACGAGGAGTTTTCTCTTAAAAATATAAAAAAATATATATTGCTCAGGTCACAGATTTTTGTAATGAATGAAATTTAATTAATTACAAAAATTCATACCCTAGTTGTGAAATTCGGCGATTCAACGCGTCCCAGAAGTTGTTGCAAAAGTCAGCTTCGAGGTGTTCCATCACTCAGGTGATGGAACACCTCGAAGCTGACTTTTGCAACAACTTTAGGAGGTCAGCCTCCTCACTAAGTACTGACTGATGTATATACCCTACTTCAACATAATGAAATATCGAGCTTTAGAAAACTCTTGCATAATTTTATCACGAGCTCTTAGTATAAAAATAATACATGTAGACAGAAACTATTATTACTATTACTCACCCCAGAGATTTTTTCAGGTAATGCGTTACTTAAATTCATGAATGAAAATTGGAAACTACTATCAGAAGAATTTGGAGAACCTGTACTTCGGGCTTGTATAAAAATAATACATACTGCTATCAAGAAGTACTTGTATGCACACCCATTAGAAGAGCTTGTCGAATTATAAGTTCTGAAAATGAATGCATTTAAAGTAAATTGACATATGACTTCTGGGACACTCTGTGAACAATGTAAAGGAGCTTTAGCTTTTAAGAATAATATATAACGATTCATTCTATCTACGTTATAAATATATGTTAATCATATTTGGATTTCTATTCTCAGACAGAATACTATAGGTACCTATTTCATCATTTGTAAGCTTACTAATTTGTTTTTTTTTTGTTTTCTTTATAAGATGATTTGTATTGTTTTCGTTTTAAGATGAGTAGATATCATACTAATGTATGAAAACCTTCCAAAAATATAATGAAAATAGATTTTTCTGTTCCTGATACTTTTGTTATTATTTTTAAGTAGGAGTTATGGCAATGGTGTAAAAGACTTAAGTACTGTTACATTTGAACTTTTATATAAAACAATTCTAAATTTTTGTAAAAATTTTACAACAAAATAATTAAAACAACATATTTGTAATTTAATATTATACACATGAATATTAACATATCATGTTTCATTTCTTTGTTGATTAGTAATATCTTAATGATCATTGTGTACTCTACCCACTCAGTTTAGATCGACTTTGGTAATTAAAATATACAAAATACTAGCTTTTGCCCGCGACTTCGTCCGCGTGGTAAAGTTACTTTGAGCAGCATTTCTAACGAATATTTATTCATTATATCGTGTAAAAACCTGAAAAAAAGTCTTATCCTCTTAGCTTATGCCCTTAGGGGTGGAATTTATCAAAATCCTTTCTTAGGGGATGCTTATGTCATAATAGCTTTATGCATGCTTTATGCAAAGTCTTAGCCCGATCGGTTTAAAATTGACAAAGTTTCGCACAAAATTTCATCACCTATTTTATTCTCTTGGGGATAGAATTGATCAAAACCTTTTCTTGGCGGATGCCTACGTCATAACATCTACCTGTATGCCAAATTTCAGCCCGATCCGTCCAGTGGTTTGGGCTGTGCGTTGATAGATCACAATGTCAGTCAGTCACCTTTGAGTTATATATATTTAAAGAAAAGAGTAAACCATCCATAAGGAAGGCCTGAGCCCCTGCAGTGGGGACGTAAAAGGGCTGATGATGATGATGATGATGATGATGATGATGATGATGATGATGAAGAGTAAATAATTATTAACAGCATTATTTTCGAATTCTCGTATGCTCGATAGGTACCTGTACTTTTAACAAATTTAGTATCATGGGTAACATACATGGAAGTAATTGCTTTATTAGATTTATTACTTACATTGTTAGTAACCTAACTATGTAAGTTTAAAACAATAGGTAATATAAGTTTTGATGTTTTAAATAAATTGAAAGATTTACTTGATTGCATTGATTACAATTTACAAATATTTATGTAACTAAAGTGTTATAAATAAAAACACTTATCTATTTATATAAATAAAAACACTTATTCATTGATTTATATACCTACTAAAACTATTGCACACTCTCAAACAGTAAATATGTGATACCCTTATTTTATGATATCTGTTACACCATATTTTTATGCAATAAATGTTTGATTGATTGAGAGTTTGAAGAGGTGCATAGTTTCAATGAATAAAATCCTTTTATAAGTGAAGTATAATTGTAAGCATTATTGAAATCTATTATATAGGATCATATAAGGATTTTGATAAATTCCACCCCTAAGGGGATAAAATAGGGGATGAAAGTTTGTATAAATATTCTTAGATTTTCGACTGATTGATCTGAAATTATATGTGTATACGTCCGCTTAAATAGGATTGTGATAAATTAAACTCCCATGGGTATAAAATAAGGGATGATGGGGATGTAAATGTATTAGGTTGAAGCTACCAGTACCTAATAGAATAGAGTCGGCCGCGGGACGTCCTGGAGCGCGCGCGCGTCCACTCTGCGGCCCTGTCCGAACAATCCTCACAATCCGAACAGTGTTAGGATTGTTAGTACGGCTCATCCTAATAGTGAGCATTGTTAGGATCACTTCCTAATCAATTGAACCAAAACAAGTGACGTTTTTGTTGAAAATAACCAAGATTTATTCAAGACAATCAAGTGAAAGTGCGCCCTCGTCAATCACGCGAGTGTTAGACGCCTTTCAGGCCCAAATGTTAGGATTGTTAGGATGGTTAGGACCATCCAGTTCAAAAGTTGTGACTGTGTAAAAACTAAGTGAACAATCGCCACTTATCAGTGCACCAAACCCCCCTCGTCGAATCTCGCGAGTGTTAGCCGCCTTTCCGGCCTAAATGTTAGGATTGTTAGGATGGTTAGGACCGTCCAGTTCCTAACAAAGGTGGTGACTGTGTAAAAACTAAGTGAACAATCGCCAATCATTGGTGCACCAAACCCCCCTCGTCATATTTTGCGAGTGATAAACAATATTCCAAATCCAAAAATCAAGTTTGCGTATTGTTAGGATCGCAACTCATCTTAACACAGGCTATTGTGGAGTGATAATTAACTAAACAACTGACTTATTCAACTTCCTAAGTGCCCTAGGTAACACCGCGAGTGATAAACACATTCCAGACTGTTCACGGAATATCCTAGAGTGCGAGAGTGCCCATTCTGCGGATCCGAACTCATCCTAACGAACGGAACAAACCTAACATCGTTAGGATTGTTAGCATCACTCGTCTCAAGTGTTAGGATTGTTAGGATTACTATATCCAATAAAATATACGCAAACAAGAAGACATTATCGCGGAAACTAACAAGAAATGAACATTCCTATAGACTACCGAGTATTTGAGTGCCCTCGACAACCTCGCGAGTGAAACCCTCGGACTTATTAATCAATTCAATCAAGCCTCTGACAAATATGTTATAATAATCAGTTACCAATTTAATCAATTTTATTTAACTTATTTTGATTTAATGTAATTTCTTAAAGTTGTTAGGATCGATCATTTTGTTAAGGCTGTTATGATTGTTAGCATTGTTAAGAAAGATAGGATTGTTAATGAAGTTAGGATTGTTAATTTAGTTAGGATTGTTAGGATGGATAAGATTGTTAAGATAGATAGGATTGCCCATATTGTTAGGATTACACAAGCTGACCAGTCACTGCCCATATAGGAAAATATTCAATTAATTAATTTTAATCAATCATTGTACACATAGGGAAATATTTAATTATTTTCAAGTAATCATTGTACATACATGGTATAATTAATTAATCGCTGTATATATTGTAATATTTAATTAGTTTTAACCACTGTATATATATATATATATATATATATATATATATATATATATATATATATATATATATATATAAAAAGGAAAAAAAAGGAAGGAAAAGAAAAGAAAAAATATAAAAATAAAATAAAATAAATAAATACTCAATATACGAATCATACAATTACACAAATACAAATATAAAATATTTAGCCACCATTACCTAACAACAAGATTAGCCATAAGTTAGATTTTAATCACCAATCAAAAGGGCACTTGTACATATACAATAGTACGGATTGGCCGGACGCAGCACAGAGCATTAAACTAATAAATATAATCATATATATAATAATAATCTTAACCAAGCAGGCAAAGCGATACACGTATGTGTCTATGCACTGTGCCCCTCGGATTTTATTTCAATTGTGTATCATTCTCTCTATCAATCAATCAACTAACTGATTTACGAAACAACCAATCCAATCACTGCATATGAGAAATCTCCTTTAATGTTTTTTCTTTTTTGTTCTATTTTCTTTTTATTTTATTTTTTATTCTTGTTTCTTTTAATTGTTTTTTCTTTTAAGGTTTTGACTAGGTGTCACGATTGCCCTCTCGCCAACGGAGGTGGATCGCCAACGACACCAACGACACCAACCAGAAAGACACCAATGCCCACGAACTTCGGGCACACACAGGATCCAGAAGACTTTCCGTACCTTCTGTACTATCCTCTAGCCAACCTCTGGATCCTCCCTCAAACCCTCCCCCGATCCTCCCCCCCATTCCCACCCCGTCCTACCCTTCTCCCCTTCCTCCATCCTCCCTCCCCCCTGAGATTAGGACGGGCCACGGGCGCTGCATGTCGCTCCCTAGTTGGCTTGCCCTCATCTCAACATCAATTATCGCCCCCTCTTAAAAAGGGGAAGTCGGTATAACATCATAGTGTTCGAGTTGTCGTAATTATCGACCTCCACTATTCTTCTGTCGAGCAGGGTCACCTCGACGGCCCCCCCGCCCCGCAAACACGGCCACCTCGTTGGAAGTGGACGCGGGGCGGGGGGGCGGTCCCTCGGTTTCGATACCCACTCTTCTTCACCAACTTCATCACTCAATTAGGGTGCGACCGCAGCCACTTCTGGTAAGTGTGGTCGCGGGGCGGCGCCGGCGGGGCTATCCACCCTCTGGCGCCCATCTTTCATTCTTTCGCTATCTTTTGGCCTCTTTCGGAAACAGGGGTTTCTATCCTCTTCCTTTCTATTTTTCGACCCCTGTTCCCTCTTTCAGCCTCTTCCTCTATCCTTTCCTTCTTTTCTACCTCTTTCTCTTCCCTGGGAGGAGGGTGGACTACGGGTTCAACAAGACGCTCCCTGGTCCTCCCCTCTTCCCAGCATCCATTTCCTTCTAAAGTGATTTAGCATGATCCCCCCTCATACGAGGGATCTAAAGCCCCCTCTTCAAGGAATCCATGGCCCTTCTAACTGCCGGAAGGGCCATCGAAGCGTACCCTTCTGCATAAGGGTACCTGAATCATAACCATAAAAAAATATTCGTTAAAAATGCTGCTCAAAGTAACTTTACCACGCGGACGAAGTCGCGGGCAAAAGCTAGTTATACTATATTATTTTATAAGTTAACTATAGCCAGCGAGGTCATTGCCTCGTCCTTGTTTTAAACAAAAAATATGGATTCAATCTTGGGCAACCGGTACCTACCTATTGGTAATTTTTATACACTTTGCTTTAAAATAAATATCAATACAACGTGAATCCAAAATTAATGAAATATAATCATTTTAACATACTATTATCCTACTTTATTCACTTTTCAACTATCGCGCTGCATTATTACATACTTATAATAACGGGTATTACCTTACTTAAACGAATGTGATAAAGTTTTTGTACAAAGATTTTTTCGGATATATGTTAGGTGAATTGATGAAAATACCGTAAAAATAGGCAAATTAAGGATGTCGCCAAGGATGGGCAAGTAGGGGCAGCTGCCCGACCCTTAGTATAAAAAAGTTTTACAAGGATTTTCATAAAAAAGTGCTCGAAAAAAAATCGTAATATTTATATTTTAATTAACATTAATAACATAACAATTTTGTAAAAATGTTATTACTTTCGCATTCATAATGCCATTCGAACCGCACCTTGAGATGATAGTCATTCTATGGTCCCATTTTGGAACTGGCGACTACATTTATGTACATAAAAGTAGCGAAAGTAATAAGACTTTAATCCCACTTGTGACCTCTAGAGCTAGTAAAATATATATCGACATTAAAGTTAGTTGTAA